TCCGAGACAGTTTTATAATTTTGTAAACTTGAAGCGTAAATCTTCAAGTTTGACATCTTCTTTTTTTCTTGGGATGGATAAAGCTAGCAATGACACTGATTCTGCTAACCTCTTTGCTAATTTTTTCCAATCAACTTACTCTTCAGTCTGTCCTAATGCTAATTCTTACCCTTATACTATTTGTTCCGCTAGTTCTATACCTCCCCCCATTATTTCACAATCCTCTCTCCTATTAGCCATAAACTCTCTAAAATCTTCTTACTCTCCTGGGCCGGACAAAATTCCTAGTTGTCTACTCAAGGACTGTAGTTCTTCCCTTTTCTATCCATTGCTAAAGCTTTTTAATCTATCCCTTGAAACTTCTGTCTTTCCATCTCCTTGGAAAGAATCTTATATTCCTCTTCACAAAAAAGGTGGGAAGTCTGATATACAAAATTACAGGGGCATTGCAAAACTGTCTGCTATTCCTAAATTATTTGAAAAAATAATCACTTCGAATTTGCAGCATTTCTGCAAATCAGTTATTTCCCCTGTTCAACATGGATTCGTAAGGAATCGGTCAACTACGACCAATCTGCTTGAGTTTACTTCCTTGGTAAATGATGCTTTCCTTTCTAAAATGCAAACTGATGTCATTTACACTGACTTCAGTAAGGCGTTTGACTCTGTGCACCATGACATTTTACTTTTTAAACTTGACCGAATAGGTTTCCCTCTGTCCCTTTAACTTTGGATTAATTCTTATGTAAAAGGTAGGACCCAAAGAGTAATACTGAGGTTGAGTACCTCTAAAAAGGTTCACGTCACTTCTGGTGTTCCTCAAGGTAGTCATCTTGGACCTTTACTCTTTACTCTTTTTATAAATGATCTTTCCTCTGTTATATCACATGCCCGTGTACTCATGTATGCGGACGATGTCAAACTTTTTCTATCATACACTAATCCCCTACATCATTCTCGTCTACAAGACCATTTGAACGCTATGCAACTTTGGTGTTCGGCCAATCAATTGCATCTAAATTGTTCAAAGTGTATGTTTATGACATTTAATCGTACTACACCTTATCTTGTCAGTTATACAATCGACAATATCCCTTTGCAACGTATACTAACAGTTAAGGATCTAGGCTTTTTTTTTATTCTAAACTCTGTTTCAATCTTCATATAGATACCATTGTTAATGAGGCAAAAGGTGTACTTGGATTCATTAAACGATGGTCTAAAGAGTTTAACGATCCTTTTATAATAAAATTTCTGTACATCTCTCTTGTTCGCCCTATCCTTGAATACTGCTCTTGCATCTGGTCTCCACAGTATATCAAGAGCCAGGATCGTATTGAATCTGTTCAGAAGCAATTTCTGCTTTTTGCCTTACGAGGTTTAAATTGGGACCCTAATCTTCGGTTGCCGTCCTACTCCAGCAGACTGCTTCTTCTCAACCTTCCGTCGTTAATCAACCGTAGGTCAATTCTCGGTGTTGTCCTTCTACATAAGTTGATTATTGGCGACATAGATTCTCCTTTTCTACTAGGGCGTCTTCAATTCTCTGTTCCGGCTAGACCAACCAGAAATTATCGCCCCTTATTACTATCTACGTGCACGACAGATTACGCTATGCACAATTCTTTTCGCGTGCTATGTAAAAATTATAATAGTTTGCATCACGTTTTCTCTACCGAACTGTCTCTACCCCTAATAAAATCGTTGCTTTCAGGATACCTTCGGGAAGTCGCTGACCATTCCCAGCTATGAGCAGGGGCATAGCTAGCCGGACGGCTGAAAAATTTTCCCCCACCGTGTCGGTGATTTCCCATTACTTTTCTCTTTGTCCTAACCACTTAACACTCTTTATCTAACTTACACTGCTTTACTTTACTAACAATTTTCTTACTTTCTTTTTTTATATTTATTGTATTTTCTTAATTATGATAGCAAATTAAGATTATTTGTCATTTCACTTAAGATCACTTTTTTCCTACTTACAACCTTCTGTTTAGATGTAGGCTCTAATACCGTCACTGACAAAATTAGCTGTGAAAAGGGGCACAGCTGGCCGGACTGGCAAATAAAACACCTCCATCGGTCGGTGATGCTATTTAGAAAATTGTATCCTTTAACTAGGCTTTTTGCATATAATTCTATAGTACAATCTTTTGAATAATGAGGAAGACACTCGTTTTGTCGACCATTATAAAATAAAAAAATGTCGTTCTTAGAATATAGCTCTCCTACATGGTGAAACTTTATATCGATGTGCTTACTACGTTTATGTAAAATTGGATTTTCAGCTAACCACTGTGCGCTTTGATTATCGCAATACAATAAAATAGGCTTGGTTTCTATAAATCCCATATCATGCAACAATTTTTTAATATATGTTGCTTCCCTTGCTGCGGTAGATAAGGCAATATATTCGGCTTCAGTGCTGCTTAACGCCACCAGACTTTGTTTCTTCGATTCCCACGAAATCGCGCTGCCTGCACCAATAAAGACATATCCACTATATGATTTTCGATCTGCAGCATCGTTCGCCCAGTCTGCGTCGACGTATCCATAGATCTGCTTGCCAGTATCCTGATAATGGAGTCTCATATTAGCCGTGCGTTGTAAATACCTTAGCACACGCTTCGCTGCAACTTCATGCTACTAGTGAGGGCTGGCATTTCGTTGTGCCAGTTTCGCTACCGAATGTAGTATGTCCGGCCTGGTTGTTATGGCTAAATACATCAAAGAACCTATCAATGATTGGTAGCTCTTTTCATTAACCATCTCGCAGTTGACGTTATCACATTTGACTTGGTGACTTGCATCCAGTGGTGTAGCTACAGGCCTACACGTTGACATGCCACAAGTATGTAGCATTTGTTCCACATACTGCTTGTGGCCGATTGTTATGCTTCCAGTCTCCCCTTCGCGCTCAATTTCTATGCCCAAGAAATGGTTGAGCTGGCCGCCATCAACAATGTCGAATTCCCTGGCAATGGATGCTTTGATTTTCAACAATTCGTCTTTATTTGACCTGGCAAGTAAAATATCATCAACATCAACTTATTAATAACAATTCATTTCATTAATACATTTTACATGCTTGTTCTTTTGCAAATTTTTAGTTAGTACATCAGCAATCATATCATTAGTACCTATATATTTAACATCTATTTCGTTCTTAGAATATAGCTCGCGTACATGGTGAAACTTTATATCGATGTGCTTACTACGTTTATGTAAAATTGGATTTTCAGCTAACCACTGTGCGCTTTGATTATCGCAATACAATAAAATAGGCTTGGTTTCTATATATCCCATATCATGCAACAATTTTTTAATATATGTTGCTTCCCTTGCTGCGGTAGATAAGTCAATATATTCGGCTTCAGTGCTGCTTAACGCCACCAGACTTTGTTTCTTCGATTCCCACGAAATCGCGCTGCCTGCACCAATAAAGACATATCCACTATATGATTTTCGATCTGCAGCATCGTTCGCCCAGTCTGCGTCGACGTATCCATAGATCTGCTTGCCAGTATCCTAATAATGAAGTCTCATATTAGCCGTGCCTTTTAAATACCTTAGCACACGCTTCGCTGCAACTTCATGCTCCTAGTGAGGGCTGGCATTTCGTTGTGCCAGTTTCGCTACCGAATGTAGTATGTCCGGCCTGGTTGGTAGCTCTTTTCATTAACCATCTCGCAGTTGACGTCATCACATTTGACTTGGTGACTTGCATCCAGTGGTGTAGCTACAGGCCTACACGTTGACATGCCACAAGTATGTAGCATTTGTTCCACATACTGCTTGTGGCCGATTGTTATGCTTCCAGTCTCCCCTTCGCGCTCAATTTCTATGCCCAAGAAATGGTTGAGCTGGCCGCCATCAACAATGTCGAATTCCCTGGCAATGGATGCTTTGATTTTCAACAATTCGTCTTTATTTGACCTGGCAAGTAAAATATCATCAACATAAACTTATTAATAACAATTCATTTCATTAATACATTTTACATGCTTGTTCTTTTGCAAATTTTTAGTTAGTAAATCGGCATTTCATATCATTAGTACCTATATATTTAACATCTATTTCGTTCTTAGAATATAGCTCGCGTACATGGTGAAACTTTATATCGATGTGCTTACTACGTTTATGTAAAATTGGATTTTCAGCTAAGCACTGTGCGCTTTGATTATCGCAATACAATAAAATAGGCTTGGTTTCTATAAATCCCATATCATGCAACAATTTTTTAATATATGTTGCTTCCCTTGCTGCGGTAGATAAGGCAATATATTCGACTTCAGTGCTGCTTAACGCCACCAGACTTTGTTTCTTCGATTCCCACGAAATCGCGCTGCCTGCACCAATAAAGACATATCCACTATATGATTTTCGATCTGCAGCATCGTTCGCCCAGTCTGCGTCGACGTATCCATAGATCTGCTTGCCAGTATCCTGATAATGGAGTCTCATATTAGCCGTGCGTTTTAAATACCTTAGCACACGCTTCGCTGCAACTTCATGCTACTAGTGAGGGCTGGCATTTCGTTGTGCCAGTTTCGCTACCGAATGTAGTATGTCCGGCCTGGTTGTTATGGCTAAATACATCAAAGAACCTATCAATGATTGGTAGCTCTTTTCATTAACCATCTCGCAGTTGACGTCATCACATTTGACTTGGTGACTTGCATCCAGTGGTGTAGCTACAGGCCTACGCGTTGACATGCCACAAGTATGTAGCATTTGTTCCACATACTGCTTGTGGCCGATTGTTATGCTTCCAGTCTCCCCTTCGCGCTCAATTTCTATGCCCAAGAAATGGTTGAGCTGGCCGCCATCAACAATGTCGAATTCCCTGGCAATGGATGCTTTGATTTTCAACAATTCGTCTTTATTTGACCTGGCAAGTAAAATATCATCAACATCAACTTATTAATAACAATTCATTTCATTAATACATTTTACATGCTTGTTCTTTTGCAAATTTTTAGTTAGTACATCAGCAATCATATCATTAGTACCTATATATTTAACATCTATTTCGTTCTTAGAATATAGCTCGCGTACATGGTAAAACTTTATATCGATGTGCTTACTACGTTTATGTAAAATTGGATTTTCAGCTAACCACTGTGCGCTTTGATTATCGCAATACAATAAAATAGGCTTGGTTTCTATATATCCCATATCATGCAACAATTTTTTAATATATGTTGCTTCCCTTGCTGCGGTAGATAAGGCAATATATTCGGCTTCAGTGCTGCTTAACGCCACCAGACTTTGTTTCTTCGATTCCCACGAAATCGCGCTGCCTGCACCAATAAAGACATATCCACTATATGATTTTCGATCTGCAGCATCGTTCGCCCAGTCTGCGTCGACGTATCCATAGATCTGCTTGCCAGTATCCTGATAATGAAGTCTCATATTTTAAATACCTTTTAAATACCTTAGCACACGCTTCGCTGCAACTTCATGCTCCTAGTGAGGGCTGGCATTTCGTTGTGCCAGTTTCGCTACCGAATGTAGTATTTCCGGCCTGGTTGTTATGGCTAAATACATCAAAGATGTACCTATCAATGATTGGTAGCTCTTTTCATTAACCATCTCGCAGTTGACGTCATCACATTCGACTTGGTGACTTGCATCCAGTGGTGTAGCTACAGGCCTACACGTTGACATGCCACAAGTATGTAGCATTTGTTCCACATACTGCTTGTGGCCGATTGTTATGCTTCCAGTCTCCCCTTCGCGCTCAATTTCTATGCCCAAGAAATGGTTGAGCTGGCCGCCATCAACAATGTCGAATTCCCTGGCAGTGGATGCTTTGATTTTCAACAATTCGTCTTTATTTGACCTGGCAAGTAAAATATCATCAACATAAACTTATTAATAACAATTCATTTCATTAATACATTTTACATGCTTGTTCTTTTGCAAATTTTTAGTTAGTGCATCGGCAATCATATCATTAGTACCTATATATTTAACATCTATTTCAGAGAGAGTTTTCAGTTGAGAGTGATTGACGTGTTTTACTTGTGCTCCAAGATTTTTATATATTTTTGCGCTTTTATCCTGCTTTTTATTTCACAATTTTGCATTTTTCGGTGCTTTATTTAAAAAGCTTTTATAAACGGTGCTAAGTGTTATCTGTTGTGCAGCGTCTCTGTTAATTATTGCATTTTATAAAACGCGGCGTCAGTTCCGTGTTTGTTGTTATTGGCTGTTTTAAGTCTTTTGCCTTTGTGCTCCCCTGTGCATACACTTGTTTGTGCGTGTGTTCGCTGCATACTTTCTGCTTGTGCATCGCGCTCTCACAAATTTCTCTCTTTTGCTTTTCGCACCAAACAATTTGTTTGTGTACGAATAATTGTTTTTTGAGTGTTTACTTGTGCACCGTTTTCGTTTCGTTTTGCTCTGCGCTCTCGCAAGTTGCTTGCGCATTTAATAATTATGTCGTGCTGTAAGAAACCGTGCACGTTCAAGCAGGCTGACGATTCTGCACTGCCGCAATTTGTTAATTGCTGGCTGTGTGAGAATATGATGCATGCTAAATGTGCAGGTCTCACTGGGCGTGATTGCGACAAGATCGCTGCTATTGCCAAGAAGGGCTGCGGTGGCTTGCGTTGGTCGTGCCCAGAATGCATCGACAAGCAAATTGATTTCTCCAGAATGTATAATTCTGTGAGAGGTCAATTCTTAAAATTAAATAATGTGGCTAAGCAGCTCTCGAGTAATTTTGACTCGAGTTTCGAGTTGCTAGGACAATATAAATTTGAGTCCCCAACCAATCGCCGGTTGGAGCCTCAACTTTTGCAATTGCCCTCTACGTCTGTTCAGACACCTACGACTTTCTTGTCTCTTCCTAGCAACTTAGAGGTATCTTCAATGTTGTCTTTATCGCCTTCTCCAAGCGACTGTCCAATTACCCCGGTTTTAAGCCCTGTACTAGACCCAGTAGAGCCCGTACCTGATTCCGTCCCAATTAATCAAACTGCCTCAGCCCCGTCAGCTCCTGGCCGCAAAGGTAGACCTGCGCGCAATCTTGGCCAGATTGTTAAAAACATCATTGTGCCTCGTTAGCTCCTCCAACTCCTGTATTACCTACAGCCCCATCAGCGCCTACTTTAACGGTAGTTGCCCCTCGTAGGCAAGTTTTTGTGTCTCGACTTTCGTCGGACACCACTTCTGAGTCATTGGCAGCCTATATTGCTAGCAAATCTTCTGCTAGCGTGTCAATAACTAAATTTAATTTCTCCACCCCTCGTGAAATATCATCATTCAAAATAAATGTTTCACATGATATGCTCCCAATCATTTGTGATCCCAAATTTTGGCCACCACACATGATTGTTCATGAGTTTAAGCCTAAAAAGCGTAACCAGCCTGTCACCCTTCCAGTCCCTTCAATACAGGGTACCATTTCTGCCCCAAAAAACTAGCTTCATCTAAAAAATCTTTTTATTGCCAGCACTTCCTTCGATTCGGACATAATAGCATTTTCAGAAACATGATCGGCCGACTCGAGGTGGTGGGGTGTTAATTGCCGTTAAAGCCACTCTCCAGTCTGAACTATTCTGCTTTAGTACGCCTACTGACGCTGAGATTGTCTCAGTTATGGTGTCTTTTCCTACACGGAATATCTATGTAACATGCTCTTATGTCCCACCTTCTTCTGATATTCAAGTTTATATGAATCATATTACTTGTATTAAAGAAGTTTCTTCACACGTGCGGGATAATGACCTATTATTGGTGTTGGGTGATTTTAATTTGCCGAACATCTCTTGGTCATTATTCACTGCTGAAAATTATCTAGTGCCCTCAGCACAGCACGATTTTTTAGACTGCATGATTGATCTTTCGTTGTTTCAAATCAATTCAATTTCTAATCATATGAATAGAACACTTGACCTTGTATTTGTTAACGACTACCTTATTTCTAATGTGTCTAGGTCCCCTCCTTTATCTCTTCCTGAGGATGTCTATCATCCAACTTTAGAGATTGCAATGCTAAATTGTAATCCTTTCATTTCGTGCTCATCAGCCAATAAGCCCCGCTATTGCTTTCGCAAAGGAAATTATTCTTTGCTGAATCAGCTTATTTATTCAACCGATTGGTCTTTCTTATATGACTCAGTTGATATGAATACAGCCATTAATTTTTTTATATCACCCTAAACTCCCTCTTAGATGTGTGTATTCCTAAGTCAATTCCTTCGACTACTTTTTCAAAACCACGCTGGTTTACTCCCAGATTATCACATCTAAAAAATGTAAAATCCAAATATTTTAAAAAGTTTAAAAAGTCTGGTTCGTGTACAGACTTGGCTAAATATTCCATAGCCAAGTCGAACTTCTTTCTTCTTAATTCTCAATGCTATGAGAATTATCTAATTCGTTGTAAAAGGCAATTCGCCCGAAATCCGAGACAGTTTTATAATTTTGTAAACTTGAAGCGTAAATCGTAAAGCAATGACACTGATTCTGCTAACCTCTTTGCTAGTTTTTTCCAATCAACTTACTCATCAGTCTGTCCTAATGCTAATTCTTACCCTTATACTATTAGTTCCGCTAGTTCTATACCTCCCCCCATTATTTCACACTCCTCTCTACCATTAGCCATAAACTCTCTTAAATCTTCTTACTCTGCTGGGGCGGACAATATTCCTAGTTGTCTACTCAAGGAGTGTAGTTCTTCCCTTTTCTATCCATTGCTAAAGCTTTTTAATCTATCCCTTGAAACTTCTGTCTTTCCATCTCTTTGGAAAGAATCTTATATCATTCCTCTTTACAAGAAAGGTGGGAAGTCTGATATACAAAATTACAGGGGCATTGCAAAACTGTCTGCTATTCCTAAATTATTTGAAAAAATAATCACTTCGAATTTGCAGCATTTCTGCAAATCAGTTGTTTCCCCTGTTCAACATGGATTCGTAAAGAATCGGTCAACTACGACCAATCTGCTTGAGTTTACTTCCTTGGTAAATGATGCTTTCCTTTCGAAAATGCAAACTGATGTCATTTACACTGACTTCAGTAAGGCGTTTGACTCTGTGCACCATGACATTTTACTTTTTAAACTTGACCGAATAGGTTTCCCTCTGTCCCTTTTACTTTGGATTAACTCTTATTTAAAAGGTAGGACCCAAAGAGTAATACTGAGGTTGACTACCTCTAAAAGGGTTCACGTTACTTCTGGTGTTCCTCAAGGTAGTCATCTTGGACCTTTACTCTTTACTCTTTTTATAAATGATCTTTCCTCTGTTATATCACATGCCCGTGTACTCATGTATGCGGACGATGTCAAACTTTTTCTATCATACACTAATCCCCTACATCATTCTCGTCTACAAGACCATTTGAACGCTATGCAACTTTGGTGTTCGGCCAATCAATTGCATCTAAATTGTTCAAAGTGTATGTTTATGACATTTAATCGTACTACACCTTATCTTGCCAGTTATACAATCGACAATATCCCTTTGCAACGTATACTAACAGTTAAGGATCTAGGCGTTATTTTTGATTCTAAACTCTGTTTCAATCTTCATATAGATACCATTGTTAATGAGGCAAAAGGTGTACTTGGATTCATTAAACGATGGTCTAAAGAGATTAGCGATCCTTTTATAACAAAACTTCTGTACATCTCTCTTGTTCGCCCTATCCTTGAATACTGCTCTTGCATCTGGTCCCCACAGTATATCAAGAGCCAGGATCGTATTGAATCTGTTCAGAAGCAATTTCTGCTTTTTGCCTTACGAGGTTTAAATTGGGACCCTAATCTTCGGTTGTCGTCCTACTCCAGCAGACTGCTTCTTCTCAACCTTCCGTCGTTAATCAACCGTAGGTCAATTCTCGGTGTTGTCCTTCTACATAAGTTGATTATTGGCGACATAGATTCTCCTTTTCTGCTAGGGCGTCTTCAATTCTCTGTTCCGGCTAGACCAACCAGAAATTATCGCCCCTTATTACTATCTACGTGCACGACAGATTACGCTATGCACAATTCTTTTCGCGTGCTATGTAAAAATTATAATAGTTTGCATCACGTTTTCTCTACCGAACTGTCTCTACCCCTAATAAAATCGTTGCTTTCAGGATACCTTCGGGAAGTCGCTGACCATTCCCAGCTATGAGCAGGGGCATAGCTAGCCGGACAGGCTGAAAAATTTTCCCCCACCGTGTCGGTGATTTCCTATTACTTTTCTCTTTGTCCTATCCACTTAACACTCTTTATCTAACTTACACTGCTTTACTTTATTAACAATTTTCTTACTTTCTTTTTTCCTATTTATTGTATTTTCTTTATTAATATAGCAAATTAAGATTATTTTTAATTTCACTTGAGATCACTTTTTTCCTACTTACAACCTTCTGCTTAGATGTAGGCTCTAATAGCGTCACTGACAAAATTAGCTGTGAAAAGGGGCACAGCTGACCGGACTGGCAAATAAAATAAATCCTTTAACTAGGCTTTTTGCATATAATTCTATAGTACAATCTTTTGAATAATGAGGAAGACACTCGTTTTGTCGACCATTAATAAATTAATAAAAATAAAAAAATTTCCTTCTTAGAATATAGTTCGCGTACATGGTGAAACTTTATATCGATGTGCTTACTACGTTTATGTAAAATTGGATTTTCAGCTAAGCACTGTGCGCTTTGATTATCGCAATACAATAAAATAGGCTTGATTTCTATAAATCCCATATCATGCAAACATTTTTTAATATATGTTGCTTCCCTTGCTGCGGTAGATAAGGCAATATATTCGGCTTCAGTGCTGCTTAACGCCACCAGACTTTGTGTCTACGATTCCCACGAAATCGCGCTGGCTGCACCAAAAAATACATATCCACTTTATGATTTTCGATCTGCAGCATCGTTCGCCCAGTCTGCGTCGACGTATCCATAGATCTGCTTGCCAGTATCCTGATAATGAAGTCTCATATTAGCCGTGCCTTTTAAATACCTAAGCACACGTTTCGATGCTTATGCTCCTAGTGAGGGCTAGCATTTCGTTGTGCCAGTTTCGCTACCGAATGTAAAATGTCC